TTGTTTGTTTTTTTTTGTGTGTTGGGGTTTGTGATGAAAATTAGATAATTTGTAAGGGTCATTGTGCAATTTTAAAACTTTTATTAGATTATATTTTAATAGTGGGATGGTATTATAATTATCAATGTTCAATATATTGCACATTAACATTACATTATATGCACAATTTGAGAATTTACACGCACATTATAAAATTCCGTTACATTTATACAAAATTAAATAGTTATTAATTGGTCGGATCATTGATCGGTTTGGTTTAATCGACCGAGAGGATGTCGAAACTGGAATAATAGAAATAAATATTTAGAGTTGTAATATTGTTAGTTTAATATTTTATATTATTCTTTTTTATTAAAAAATGTATATTCTATATAAACAAAATATAATGTACAATCTAGCAGTTATTAATGTGCAATTTGTACAACACTATGGTGCACGATGTCGGTATACAATTTGAACCGACCAAAATTTGGTCTAAACAAAATGAAAATTACGTTTTTTATTCGGTTCGTTTAACTGAATATTCCGAAAAAAAAATCAAAACATTTTTTTTTTGTATATTAAAATTATATTTAATATGTTAATAATTTTATTTATTATTTTTATATTTTTTACTGGTTGAAAGATTTTGACTTTGGTCGGTTTTGATTTATTTTTTTGCAATCTGATAGTCGTGATGTTGTGCAACGTGTTGTTCTGTAAAGTGCAACGTGCAATTATATAAAGTGCAGAGTGCTCATGCATAAAGTGAACTAATGTGATTTTAGTACGTTAACTTGTTTGTGTCTTGTGTGGGTAATTGAATGATGGGTCTATTCTCGGATTTGGGGTGAACCGGTGGAAAACTGCCCGGATCTGGAATGAACCGATGAGAACGAGCTCAGATCTGTCTTGATGGTCTCCAAATTGCTATCGAACCGCGAGAACACCTGCAAGAACTCAACGCCGGAGGGATTTCCGGCGTAGAGCCTCCGACGCTCAAGTCAGTATGTGAAAAGAGTGAAAAGAGCTGCTCTGAGGAAGCAGCAGCAATGGAGGAGAATGTGGAATGAATGGGAGTTAGGGTTTTGGAGTTACCTCAGCTCCTTTATATAGAAGTAGAACATTTACCTGAAGTTCCCAAAATGCCCTGGCCGACTTACTGGAAATGTCCAAAATACCCTGGTCGGTTCGTATTCTGTCCTCTTCCTAGTCAGCATCTAGATTCTTCCTTATCCCTTAATAGCTTACTTCTGATATACTGAAGTGCATAAGAGTCGTCGGGGATCCGAGAGTCCCGAGTCTACTTCAGTCGACTTGAGACAACCTTGCTTTCGATCCAGCTGGGTCATCCTCCACTCGCTAGTAGACCCTAATACACTCATTTTTCCTTCCAGACGGAATATACTTGAATCCAGTCGACAGGGTAGAAGTCGACTAAGAAAAGCATCCGGACCTTCGGCCGGATGTATCATTATGAGGAGATATGTGAGAGGAGTCGACTTAGGGTAAGTCGACTCGATATTCAAACTGGGACATCGTAAGCCGCTATATGACAGTATGGCTATATCATCTAGTCCCCCCAAAGATTACTCGAAGCGATTCTGAGCTTACGAGTAAATTCGTTGATGGAATGCTTCACAGGATTCCCTTCCAACCGTTCCCCTTACTCTTGACCATCTACGCCCAAACTTCGACTCATGAGAGGCTCTTTAACTTCGAGAAATTCTCGTTTTGTCTGGATAAACTCGAATTCCGTCTTGAATTTCGAAATTCAAAGAGGATTGGAATCTGACAAGACGTTTCTCTCTCCACCGCTTCGTATTCCGTGCATTATCTCATCCGTCCGATCTACCTTTAATCTAAGGGCTAGGGTTCCTTTACTTTTCTTATAAATTTCCGCTTCTTCCTTCTTCTCCCACTTTTCGCATTCTCATTTCTCGAATTCCTTCTTTCTCCGGCAAGCGCAGCATTTTCCGTTTCTCCGGCATGCATTTTACTTTCCGAGACCCCTTTCAGATTTTTCAGGACTTCTCCAGAAATCATCATGTGTAAGTTTTTCCTGCTTTCTTATTTATTATGCAATTCCTTTCCTTTATTGTTTTTCTGGGTCACATGTTGAATACTTATGGATTCATCGGCTTTTTCCTGCATTTTGATAACTTTCTGGGGATTTTCTCTTGTTAGATCTTAAATTATAGATTTTCCCTTTCTTCAAGTGTTTTTTGACCAATAGTCGATTCGATGTTGATTCTTCTGCTTCCCTCCGTTTATGTTATCCTTGACTCGACTTCTTTATGTTGAATTGAATGAATCCGAGACGACCTATAAATTCCTCTTGATCCTCATTTTTCCGTCGACTCGTAGTTATAATTGTCTCCGCTTGTTAATTGTCATTCTTCCTTTCTCTTTTGTTTCATTAGATCTCGATTCTCCCCCTGTTTCCGACCCGACTTCCGGCTCTCTTGCCCTAGAAATCGACAGATATTCAGGTTCTGTTTCCGTCGAAATGCTTGACATTCAGACTAACACTAGCCGGAATGCCAAAACAGAGGGTTCAGTTAATTCTAATGCTTCGCCCTTTGGTATCGACTGGGATGTGTATAACCAGGCACTATTGTCGGGCGCTCTTTGTGCGGATCCTGATGCCCTTCGACTTAACCCAATCCCTCGAGGTATCCCTAGGTTTTCATACGCTATGCATAACAACCCTCTTTCATAAATATCGGTTCTTTAAGTCGAGTTCTTAATTGTAGCATGTCCTTTGGCCGTTCTTAACCCCTTTTCTTGTGCTCCTGCAGCCGAAATTGATGGCTTCAGAGAGTTCAGCGGGCTTCCTTCCGACTGGAAAGTGGTCGCTCCTAGTTCCAAAGACGACTTTCGACATCCCCCCCGCGGTTGTTTTAGCTTTTTTGTTGATCAAATAATGTCGGGGCTGCGCTTTCCTATCCAACCCGACTTGTTATCTTTGAGCGGTCTATATGGCGTCCCAATAAATCAGTTTACTCCCAATTCTATCCGAATATTGGTGGCCTTCATCGTCGTCACCCGTATAGTCTTAGGTAGTTTTATACCCGATTTTTTCTTTTATTGCTACGGCTATAGGTTTAGCAAAGACGCTCATTGTTTGGGTTGTCGTGTTGGGGTCACCTTTCTCGACGATCTTTCTTTCAACATTACCGAGTGGAAGAAAAAGTACTTCTTCATTCGTCCCGCCCCCGGTCAATATCCCTTCACCAACGAGTAGTATACCGACAAGGTACAGCAACGTAAGCGCTCTCGTTCCTCACTATTCGCGAATATGCTAGAGGAGTTGAATAAGCACACTTGGAGTGCTCGTCAATTGACTAAAGATAGTTCCCTTCTCAATCATGTCGGGATCTGTATTGATAAGAACGCTCCTCGACTTGAGGACCCTTGTAAGCCGCCTATTGTTCTAGCCCCTCTCAGCCTTATACATTTATCGATATACTTCTTTATCTCCCTGCAGTGTGATCGTATAAATGTTTAATTGTTGCTTGTCGTTTTATTTCGACAGTGGGTGCACTCCAGCGTTTCAAGAAGAAGAAGGTCGAGGCGC